TCAGGGACAGTGTCCTCTGGCCCCATGAGCTCACAGCATGAAGGTTCCCTGGAGCTTTGAAGGAGTCTGCCCTGTCCACACTCTGCTCATAGGCCCCACGTCTCCCAGCACAGCAGGCGGTCTGCCCCACAAACGCTCAGGGGCCACCTGAGTCTTTTATCCCAGGAAAAAGAGGGATCCTGCAGTCTCTCTCTGTGTGTGTCTCTGTCTCTCCCAGCCTTGGCACCTCATCTCCATGCCCCGCCTGGCTCTCCTCCCCCTCCCCCCATGTATGCCAGGTTTCTTTTCAGAACCTCCGAATCCTTCCCAAGCCTCTGACATTTACTCTTTGGAATTAGAAAATTTTCTATTTCTCTTTCCCAGAGCGAGGCTGGCGGAAAAGGTTTCCCCGGGGATCTACCTGCCCTTCCAGAGGTGAAGTGCCGGGGGCAGAGCTGGCTTATGTCAGCCTGGCACTGATCGTGCCAACCAGCAATTATTAGGCACCCCCTCTGTGCACCAGGCCCTTCTAGGAACCACCACAGTCAGTGCGTCTAAGAACCCTGCGGGCTTAGCCTTACCATCTGCACCAGGCAGGTGTACCGGGCAGGGAAATCAGAAGGTCACAAGGCAAGTGAGAGGTGGAGCCAGGATGAAACCACACCTCTCGGGCTCCGAAGTCCATTTCCCTCCGCTGTGCTCTGCCTTCAAGGTCCACGGGGGACTGGGGCACTGAAGGACGGGCAGCATTTGGGGGGACCAAGAGTTTAGGGTACGTGGCATCCAGGCAGAGGGTACAGCAGGAACAAAGCATCCAAGTGGTCAGTCAAGTATAGGGTGGGTGGAGGGCCTGAGCCCAGAAGGAAAATGTGCAGGACAGGGAAACTCCCACACCAAAAGATTAACCTAAGAGACCGCAAGGATGAGGGCATGCTGAGAGCCCAAGTATCAGGCGCTGTTCTCAGTATTTTACGTGCACTAACTCACAACGGCAACCCTATGAGACAGACACTGTTATACTCTTATTTTACAAAAGGGGAAACGGAGGCTCAGAGAAGTTGGGAAACTAAGCCAGTCTGAGGCACAACCAGGATTCGGACTGCGACCTGGCTCCAGAGTCTCACTGTGGCACCACCCTTCTGCACGCCCTTCCCCCTGCACGCCCCTCCCCCTGCACGCCCCTCCCTCCTGCGCAGCCGCACCAGCTGACTTTCTTTTCAGCAGGAAATGTTCCGAAGCAGGAAGATGGGATGGTCCGAGCTGGGGTGGTGTGGACCAGGCCGAAGGGGAGGGAGCGCTATGTAGTGATCGGCAGGAGCCAGGGACAGGAGGGGCAGCTCGGCGCATGCTTATTAATCTCCCCTTGGCTACCCGACTTTGGTCTGGTTGAATAAGTGGCCCTCACGAGGAAGGCGCTGTGGGGGACCGTGGCCTGGCTCTGGAGGGGCACCTGGGCCGGCGTATTTTCCCGGTGAACTCTGCCCTCCCCCAAGCAGGAGGCAGCCAGGGTCTCTGTACCCCAAAACTTAGCAACTAAAACAACACACATGCTTCATCTCGGTTTCTAAGGGTCAGGAACCCAGGTGTGACTCAGCTGGTGTCTCAACAGCTGGAGCCAAGGTGCTGGCTGGCGTCGGGTCTCCTCTGAGGACTCCCCGGAGAAACGATCCCGCTCCACTTGGATAACGGCTGAAAGACTCAGTTTCCTGAGGTCTGCTGGACTGAGAGCCTCATTTCCCTGCCGGCTGTTGGCTGGGGGCCACCCTCAGTTTCATGTTACATATGCCTCTGCCACCTGAGAGCTTGTCCCATCGAAGCTGGAGTCTGCTAGCAGACAGAAGTCACCATGCTTTGCACCCAATCACAGGAGCGGCACACCCTTGATGGCGACATGTTCTGTTGGTATAAGAGAGGGGAGGGGAGTACACGAGAACACGAAGACCAGGAGGTAGGGATCAGTGAGGGTCATCTTGAGGCTGCCCTCCGCCTCCCAAGGTCCTCGGGACTAGGCCTGGGCTACAGCGAGGGCGTCCCAGCCGGCTCCCTGCCAAACAGACTTAGAGCTCCCTGTAGCCCCAGCCAGGTGGCCCCGCTTGACCACATCGTCCCTTCAGGGAAGAACAGGATATGGAAAGGACGGCATGAGGGCAGAAATTTCCTGAGCATATGAAGGCTCCATCCTGGATGTATGGAAAGAAGGCCAACTGGATCCTATCAAGATGGGTGGCACCATCCTGAAAGGGGTGCAGATCAGTGGGGCAACCAGCATGCCAGAGAAGGGAATCAGGCAAGGACGCCACCCATCTCCTGCTCCGGAGTGGTTTGGGGGAGAAGAGCAGGGTCTGGCTCCAGGGAGAAAAGGGACACATCATTTCAAGTCCAGGCCGAGGAGCAGCAACACAGACACAACAGCATTCCCCCTCATTGTTGTTCCCCAGGATTCTGGTCCCAGGGAACCCCTTGAGCCTCAAGGATCAATGACCGATAAGGGCCATTGGCCAATATTGCCCGCAGGGGCCTTCCCGATTTCAACAGATGCTCCCGAGTGAGGAGCTCAGCTGCGCCAAGGGACTCACCTGTCATTTTCTATCTTGCCTTATAGCAGATCAAACCCATTGAGATACTACCACCTATGGAATGAAAAATAAGCTCATCCCAGCATTCAAAGCCTTTCATGACCTGGCCCCAGTATTCCCAGAAATTCCTATAGGTTTTCCAGACGTCAGACAAACCAACTAACCTCTTGTTTAATTGTCTGCTCCTTCTGCCATTCATCAGCAAATATTAAATGTGTGCACACCACGTGCCGGGCCCTGTGCTCAGTGCAAAGGATCATTCTAGCTCTTGCCTCACCTCCATCACAGAACAGATCCCAACCATCTTCCCCCAGCACACCAGGTTCTCACCTCTGAGCCTTTGCACATGCTATCCCCTCAGCCTGGTATGCTTTCCCCTCTTCTCCGGATTTTTCCTGACTTCCTTTAAGACCCCGCTCTGATAGGAGTGTCTGAGTGGCTCAGTCGGTTAAGGGTCAGACTCAGGTTTTGGCTCAGGTCATGATCTCAGGGTTGTGGGATCGGGCTCTGCACTCAGCGGAGTGTCTGCTTGAGATTCTCTCTCTCTGCCACCCCCCCCAACACACACACACACACTCATGAGCTGGAGCTCTCTCTCTTTCAAGTAAATAAATCTTAAAAAAACAAAGACTCTGCTCAGACATCAGTTTCTCTAAGAAGCCTTTTGTGATGCCCAGGCTGGGTTACATCCCCCATTGTGCACTCAGAGCCCCCAGTGCTCACCTCTAACATGGCCAATCAGCAGGCAGCTCTCCTCCATGCAGAGATTGAGGGCCCGAGGAGAGGCGTGGCCTGTTCCTGTCTCTCAGGAGCTGATGATCCAAGCAAGCAAGGGACGAATCTAAGCAGATCTGTGGTGGTTTATTCATTCCCTGGTGAATTAAGGGATGATGGAGGGGACAGCTGAATCATATTTCTGAGGTGCTTATTATATACCAGGCTGCCTGCCTGGTGTATTTGTAGAATATTGATCTTTTATAGCAAATGCACAGAGAAGTATTATCAGCTTTGTTTCGCAGATGAGGAAATTGAAGTTTCCATTGATTAAGGTCACACAGCTGGTGAATGGCCTCAGGCTCAGCCCAGCAGCCCATATAAGTCCCTGCCAGGGAGCCTCTACCTACTTCACCCAGCCTTGGCTCCCACACCTGTTGGGGGCAGGGCAGTTCACAGGATAGGGAGCCTGCTTCTCCCCTTGCCTCTGCCTCTCTCTCTCTCTCTCTCTCTGTCTCTCATGAATAAATAAATAAAATCTTTAAACACTTTTTCAAAAAAATCTTTTATATTCCTATTTACTTTCTGTCCACTTATTCTATTATTGTGAGAATGATATGGAACTCTTCCCCTATGACTGTGGATTTGCCTAGTTCTCTTTGCAGTTCTATCCACTTTTGCTTTATTTTGAAATTCTGCATTTGGTGCATAAATGTTTAGGGCTCTCTTGCTTTCTTTTGATAAATTGACCCCTTTATCATTATGAAACATCCCTGGTGGTATTCTTTTCTCTGAAGTTTCCTCTAATAGTAACATGCCACTCCATCATTTTCTTGATTATTGTTATCATGATACATCATTTTCTATCCTTTTAACCTATTTGTGTCAAAATTTAAAGTGAATTTCTTGTGAGCAACATACAGTTGAGTCTTGTTTTTTTAATCTAATCTGACTACCTGCACATTTAATGTGGGTTTTTAGACGATTTACATTTAACATGATTTTTTTTTTTTGCAGTTTTATACCTTTATTTGACAATCAGCGATTAGTTCCCATCCACATTAACTGTAGATTTTTGAAAATGGTGACAGGTACACAGGTAACCAAAGTGTAGAACTTGTTGGGTGAGTCTTCATCCTTGTTACATTTTCTGGACAGCCGTACACGGATACGGTATGCAACATTCATTATTCTTTTGACCCAGACAGCTTTGTTGAGCCTGCTGTCAATGCAAACATCTGGAGTTCCCATCTCTTTCATGGTAAATTTCCAGATCTCTTTGAGTGCCCGAGGGGCACCCTTCCTGAAACCCACTCCATGGATGCACTTGTGAATGTTGAAGGTGTATTCCTTGGTCACTACCTCATTGAGGGCAGAACACCCCTTCTTCTCACCACCCTTCTTCTCAAGAGCCATTCTGCCGGGTCCTGGTTGGAAAGTTTTAACATGATTGTTAATTTGCTTAGCTTTTTACACATAAGCTTGCTCTCTGTTTTCTATTTTTCACATTTGTTCTTCGTTCACTTTATCTTCTTTTTCTGACTTCTTTATGAACAATTGATTATTTTTCTGATTCCATTTCATCTTTTTTGTTGGCTTAAGACCTATAGCTTTTTGTCTTGGTATTTTAGTGGTCACTTTAGGGTTTATACTATACATCCTTACTTATCACCATGTATCTTCAAGTGGTATTATATGACGCACATTTAATGTAAGAATTCTGTAAGAACAGTGCTCACTTTGGCAGCACATACACTAAAAGTGGAATGATATAGAGCAGATTAGCATGGTCCCTATGCAAGGATGACATGCAAATTTGTGCAGTGGTCCATATTTTTTAAAAAATTTGTTTAAGCCACTTAAAGAAAATATGCTTAGGACACAATTTGCCTCGAATCCATTTCAGGTTGTATATTTGTTTTCCAATTAAAAAATTATAATTTACACCTCCCCAAAAAAGAATTCCGTAATAGTATACTTCTATTTTTCCTTTCTAGGGCTCATGCTATGGTGGTCATACATTCCACTTCTCCATATGTTATAAACCCAACACTACATTGTTGTCATTAGTCTTCAAATGTTCTATTATTTTTTACAAAGAGGTAAATAGTAGCAGAAACTATTTTATGTTAGCCTGTGTAATTTCTCTTTCCAACAATCTTTATTCCTTTATGAGAGCCATCCAGTATCATTTCTCTTCCACCCAAATGCCATTTAACATTCCTTGTGGTGTCATTCTGCTAGTGATTTATTCCTTCGGACAGAAAAAAAAATTTTGAAAAAAAATAGCCAAAAATATTCCAAATTCGATGGAAAGTATAAACCCACAGGTCCAAGAAGCTCAACAAATCACAAGCACAAAAGATATAGAAAAAAATTATGTTAGGTCGCATCATGATCAAAGTGCTAAAAGCCAGTGGTAAAGAGAAAGCCTTGAAATTATCCAGAGGGAGAAGAAAGACACATTACACAGAGGAACAAAAATAAGGATGACAGTATATTTCCCCTCAGAAACAATTCAAGTGAGGAAACAGTAGAGGAATGTTTTAAAACACTGGGGGGGAAACCCTCTTAGAATAAAATTCTAAGCTCAAAAGAATATCTTTCAAGAACAAAAGAGGAAGACTTTTTTTTAAAGATATAAAACATGAACTATTCATGGGATTTGCCTTTTCAATCCTATCTTTCAGGAATCATTGTGTCTTCTTTGCTTGATGGCTAAAGTCTGAGAAATCATTGTTTCATATATTTTTGTTCAGTTTTTTAATTGTTTCAGGTAGAAGGGTAAATCCAGCCCCTATTACTCCATCTTGGCCAGAAGTGGAAATCATGGCTGTAATTCGATGTGTATTTGTGTGATTTTTCTCCTGCTGTAGCCCACATTCCAGGAGGGGAGGGACCGTACATACCTGTTTTTACTCTGGGCTGTATCCTCAGCGCTTGGCAGAGAGTCTGGCACAGAGTAGGTTCCAACAACTAAATTCTCTAAACTTCTATGTAGTTGCACTTGGTCTGGTGAATCCTAGGGCTATTCCATGATTCTCCATAATCTGGGAGATACTTTAGAAGATCCAAATTAAAATAAGAAAAGAACCACATGCCAGGATCAAGGTTGAGAAAGGTCAAGGGAGGAGAAATAAGGCCCCAGGAAGGCAGAAAGCTAGAAAAGACAGAAGGAACCCAAGTCTTTCCCCTCCCCACAGCCAGCCCCACCCCAATTCCCCAAAACACTCCTCTTGCACATATCCCTGGTATGGCCAGCCATTTCTCACCCACCCCCATCCCAGCCCACGCCCACATATTCTCCACTTCTTCCCTTAGTTATAGAAACTCAAGTCCAGCTGCATAAAATAAAAACTACATTTTCCAGCTCCCCCTGCAGCACAGCACAACCACTGGACTGGTTCCTGCCAGTGACGTGTGAGTATTCCTGTGAGCCAGTCCCAGGCTGTGTCCTTAAAGGGAAAGGCCATACTTGCATGCATGACTCTTATTCTCCCTTCCCAGTGGAGGGGATGTGGACAGGGAGTTGAGCCATATTTCATAAAATTAATAAGGCCAACAAATGAGGAATGACAAAAAAAGGTGGGAGCAAACTGGATCCCCAAGACTGGCCACCCCAGTAGCCAAGTCTAGAACTGGTGTGTGAGGGAATAATGCGATTCTGTCTTCATAAGCCACTATTAGGTGGAGTCTTATTGTGTGATTCTCAATAATGCTCAGAACCAGGCACTAGGCTGTTATTCAGGAAAGGTGAATTGCTCAGAAAAGCCTATGTCCAGGAGAAAAGCCATCTAATGTTGACTTGTAACTTCGGGCCCTCTAGGGCCAGGGGATCTGGGGCAATTTGATTGGAGCCTGGTGGGTTCCTGCTGGGGCTCTGACTGCAACAGAACACGTAGTGAGGAGGAGGTTAAAGCTGGACATGCGGAGATGGCCCTGCTGGCCAGCCTCCCCTTTCCCTCCCTGTCCCCGGTCTAGGCAGGAATCATTCTTCATAGCAGCTTACTCCCGCTGCCTTGAGTTGGGCACACCATCCACAGAGCAGGGGAAGGGAGGGGAATTTAGGGCACCAGTTATGGGGATGACGGTTATGAGTGACTGGCTGTCCTGCCACTGCCCCGTCACACCCACGGGGAGAACCCTCCAGCGAGCGGTTCAGGGACCGAGTCCTCCTTACTGCAGGGTACGCTCAGGCCTCTCCAAATATACCTAATATTTAGATAAGGGAGAAGATGGAGGGACTTAGCAAACACCTTCCTGAAATCTAGTAGCAATAAATGAGAAAAATGGAGCAGCTCACTCCAGATAACCGGCGCCAGAGAACTAATTAATGACACTCCCATCCTGAACCAGGATGCAGGCAGCAGAGGCACCTGCCCAGGTAATTCATCAGCTTCAGATTTATGGACTCCTCGAGAGCCGCCTGCGCATCTCCTCCCCTCCAGTTTACTTGAGACACTTTTATCTAGATTTTTTTCAAGATTATTGATCTGCTCTGCCACTTCTTAAGGCAGGT